CCTATTTATAGGCCCAGCTTCCAGACTGCACATGTGTGTTTACAATAAAGATCATTTTATCACAGTTGAATGAAAGTAGAAGGGTTGTATTTATTCAATAGACATTTCTTGAGTACCTACTATATGCCAGACCTGTTCCAGGTGCTGAGGGAAAAGTATAAAATATCAATGAAATGGCTAAGATGTTATCATGAAATACTTAGCATTAGAAAAAAGAGAGCCAGAAAAATAGACATAGAAAAAACAATTGAAGCAATTCTCTAGGTAATTTTAGGTACCCTCTCCCAAACTAAATCTCTGCAAACCTAGCAATACTTCTGCTCATTTATTCATTATATGTGATAATAATTATGAACTTGACCTAAGTTGCTGAAACAGGAGTTAAATTATGTCTCTCACTTACTTGTTGAGGGACATTTGTCAAATCATTTCACGTTTTTAGAGCATGACATCCTTATCTGTAAAATGAAATTACTAATACCACCTGCTCACAGAGCTGTTATAATAATTAAATTTAATGCTTATGTTAGCACATGGCCTGGCACACAGCAAGTACTAGCTAAACGTTATTATAATCCTTATTATTCAGACAAAATACCTTAACCTTGAATTATTTAGATAGTTATCTCAACTATTATATTCATTTCTTATGATTTCAAGCATCTTGCAAAGGTTCTCCGAGACTTGGGCACAGAGGCAGGAAAATACACTTAAGAAAGGATTAATAGACTGACAGAGGGTGAACCCCAGCCTTGTGGTCACCTCCGGGGGTCACCAAGAGCTACTTTGTATTTTCCTTCCCCGCAGCTCTTGTAAAATGACTGGGTTGTATCAGGAGCAATTTAAACAACAGTAAACAAAAGTTCATGCTTTAAAACTAAATCCTAGAAAGTAAGTTAAAGAGAGAATAAACAAAGCAAGATTCTGTCCCTACATATAAAAATTAGCTTCTCCTTATCAGGAGTGGTTTAAATTAAAAGAGAGGAAAATTGTTTAATGGGAAATATTGAAAAGTGCTATTTTTAATCCTTTATAAATTTTATTTTTTAGCTGAAGTATAATGGACATGTAACATTATTTAACATTATATATAATGTTATTATATATACTATATAACTTATATTATATATAATATATAATATAATAATGAAACTATTATATAACAATAGTTTCAGCTGCACATGATTTGATATTTGTAAATATTGTAAAATGATCATCACAATAAGTCTAGTTAACATCCATCACAATACAGTTACAAATTTTCATTTCTTGTGATGAGAATGTGTAAGATCTACCCACTTAGTAACTTTCAAATCTACAATAGAGTGTTATTAACTATAGCGGAAGTGTCCAACACACAGCCGCGTGCGGGAACTTTTTTGCTTATCTGTCGAGGCAGATATCACAAAAATTATGCACAGACTTTTTTTGCTTATCAGTTTTCATTAGTGTTTGTGTTATTTAATGTGTGGCCCAAGACAACTCTTCTTCTTCCAGTTTGGCGCAGAGATGCCAAAAGGTAGGACATAGTGACCATGCTGTACATTACACCCCCAGGACTTGTAACTGGAACTTTGTACCTTTTGGCCATCTTCATCTGCTCCCCCACCCTCACCATACACACCTCAGACAGCCACCAATCTGTTCTCTGCATCTATGAGTTCATATTTTTATTTTTTAGGTCTCATATAAGATCATACAGTACCTGTTTTTTTATGACTTCTGTCACTTGGCATAATGCCCACAAGGGTCCATCCATGTTGTCACAGATGGTAAATTTCCTTCTTTTTGATTATAGCATAATATTTTATTATATATTCATATATATTCATATTCATATTTCATTATATATCCATATTCATATATATTCATATTCATATTTCATTATATATCCATATTCATATATATTCATGTTCATATATATGCATAGTTATCCATTTATGCATTGAAGAACATGTAGATTAATCCATGTCTTGGCTATTTCAAATAACGCTGCAATGAATATGGGGGTGCAGATGTCTTTTCAAATTAGTGTTCTCGTTTCCTTTGGATAAATACCCAGAAGTGGAATTACTTGATCATATTGTAGTTCTACTTTTAATATTTTTGCAAAACTTCCACACTGTTACCACATCCTTGCCAACACTTATTTCTTATATTTTTTTGATAAAGGCTATTCTAACAGGCATGAGGTGATATCTCACTGTGGTTTTGATTTGCATTTCCCTGGAGTTGGCGATCTGTATATCTTCTTTGGAAAAAAAAACAAACATGTATTCAGATCTTCTTTCCATTTTTTAATCAAAGTGTTTGTTTTCCACTATTGAGTTATATGAGTTCTTTATATATTTTGGATATTAACCCCTTACGTAATACATATGACTGGCAAATATTTTCTCCCATTCCACAGGTTGCCTTTCATTTTGTTGCTGGTTTCTTTTGCTGTACAAAAACTTGTCAGTTTGATGTTGTCCCACTTATTTATTTTTGCTTTTGTTGTTTTGGTGTCAAATCTAAAGTATCATCACCAAGAACAACGTCAAGGAAATCACCACCTATGTTTCTTTTAGGAGTTTTATGATTTCAGGTCTTATGTTCAACTCATTATCCATTTTGAGCTAACTATTGTATATGATGTAAGGAAGTGGTCCAGTTTCATTCTTTTGCATGCATGTGGCTGTCTAGTTTTTCTGACACCATTTTTTAAAGAGACTGTCCCTTCCCCCATTGTATATTCTTGATTCCTTTGTCATAAATAAATTGGCCATGTATGTATAGCTTTATTTGCGGGCTCTCTGTTCTGTTTCATTCATCTATGTGTCTCTAAAAGTGCTATACATTTTAGTAATTTTAAAGTGCATGTTCTAGAATAGTTTCCAGAAGAATCAACTAATAGTTTGATTTCTGGATATTTTTCTGTCCCTTGCTAAACTCTCAGCAACTCCAACATGCTTTGATTGTGACAAATTTTATTACCAAATGACAAGAAAGATAGTATATCAGAAGAAACGTACTTTAGTGAATTATTTCAAAGGTTTAAGAAAAAAGTTTAAATGCCATCCCTTAAAAATCTCTTACTGTGTACTATGCAGGTGTTACTATTTTACCATCTTTATACACCATTGTATATACCCATTATAAATTCCAGGAATACAGGTGAACAATGGCAATAGTAGTCCATTTGGATTAACAATTTAAGATATTTCAGTCTTGCCAAGTTATTTTTCCTTCTACCAGGACAAATATATTCATTGATATTTACAGAATAGTGGACCCTTCTAGCACACTGCTATTTAGTTTCTGGTATTGGCAAACTTAAGTATTTTCAGCCCTGAGGGTCAGCCCACTGAGCGACAGAAAACTCCGGTTCTGGGAATATATACATTAGTCCTATCTTTTACAAAAATTGTAATTTCCTTTTTCTTGAAATTAGCACATCCTATCTTTCCTGAGGACTGGTGAAATGAAAAGCACTTTTGAACCACCCAGGATTAAACAATTGACACAAACGCGCGCGCGCCCGCGCGCGCGCTCACACACTCACATACTGGCATCCTCCCTCACTGGCTTAATTTTAGACTTGAAATTTGTACCCAACGGCAGAAGTAAATGCAGGCTAAAGTTTCAGCTGTTTGCAGCCCCAAATATCTCTGGCAGAAAGCAAATGGAAGAGACAGAAATCCCTCTCAGAACTGGAGCTTCCCCTCTGAGGCCCAGACTCTCTTTTCACACTCGCCTCCCCTTCTCCTCCCAGTACCTCTAAACCCCTGGGCAGTCCTAGGCGCCAAAGTCCCCGCCCCCTCTCGCTAGCAAGAGTGGTTCTTAACCTTTTTTGGGTCGGGACCTACAGAAAACTGTGGACCTTCTCAGAATGGGGGCAGAGTCTAGGGGACGGAGCACAGCTTGAAAACTTTGCGAAACTTTCAGGAGACCAAGGACTTGAAACACACCCCAAATTGCAAGATTAAGAACAAATCTCGTCCCTACTGAGACACTGTGGAAAGGAAGGCGCTCCTGCACTGAGCCACTTGTAAGAAACCAAAGGAAGAGAGATTAGACGGAGGAAGAGAGAAGAAGAAGACTGTTGCAAAACGATGGGAAGAGAGAAAAATAAAGAGTACAGGAAAGAGAGAAATATGGGAAATTAGAGGGGTGCAGTGGGAGGAGTAGAGACCAAGGAGGGGGTGGGGTTGAGGGAGGCCGACTCAGAGAAGCCTGGACACCGACCGAGGAGGAGAAAGGAGAGATTCGGCAGGGAGGAAGAGAGCAGCAGAGAGGAGAGGAGACGGGAGACAGAGACTTAGAGAGGGAGAGAGAGAGTGCGAGCGCCAGGAAAGAGAGACCACGCTCTGCTCTCCCTCTCCAGGACAGGGAGTCTCAAAAAAGCTCTTCAAGAGGTGGCGAGGAACGCGACCCGCTGCCCCGGCGCTCCCTGCGCCTCTAGCCTCCGCCTCTTGAAGCTGGAGGCCACCCGGGAGTCCCGCACCAACCGGACAAGCAGGGGGACTCAGTGTGGAAGGAGGCGGTCCGCACTCACTTCGCTTTCTCCTCCCCTCTTCTCCTAGAGGCGGGCACCCGGGGTATTTGAGCGGCGGAGGACCCGCGCCCCCCCCCCACGCCTCCGCCCCCCATTCAAGAAGCAGCTCCGCTATCCCCGCCAGCACAGGGCGCCCGCCGCGCCTTGGAGCGCACGATCCGCGCTTTCTCCTACACGTTCCCTGGACATTATGCGGCCGAGCAGCCGAGCCCCAGTCCTTCTACTGCTACTCCTCCGGCTCCTCCTGCGGCCCGAGCGGCTCAGCTCTCGGCAGGCGGCGGCGTTGCTCAGCCGAGCGCAGACCGGACCCTCCCGGCGAGACCTCAGCGACTCCTAAAGTCAAAACTTGGCGGCGAGCGCCCGTCTCCGCGCGCCCTACGCGGCCGCTGCCTCGCGTCGCCGCGGCAGCCAAGGAGGGCAGGAGGGAAGCGGGGGGAGCAGCGGGGGAGGGGTGAGGAGCACCATGCAGTTTGTATCCTGGGCCACACTGCTAACGCTCCTGGTGCAGGACCTGGCCGAGATGGCTAGCCCAGACGCCGCGGCGGCCGTGCGCAAGGACAGGCTGCACCCGAGGCAAGGTAACGAGGCTCCGGACCCCGGGACCCCTCCGCCCTTGTCGCCACCTCCCAGCCTCCGCTCCGGGTAGCGGGCACCCCGCAGCGGAAGCCTCCTTCCTTTTCCTAGAAAGAATTCTTTTCCGCTTTGCAGCCGGTCATTCCCAGCCAATTTCTAGAGATTGACACTGTTAAAGGAATTTACCCCGCACGCCCTTTGCTTTTAGTCTGATTTTTCCCCTTCCCAACCCCCGTACCCCAAACTATCTTAACTAAGTTACTGGAGGCAACAGCTAGCGGCATGTTTTATTTTATTCAGGGTATTTGTCAGAACCTGAAATTACCTTGGATATTTTGACTTGTTCATTTTTCTGACTTCTGCCAAATATTTATCCACTGAGGGTGAAGGGGTTGATTCAAATGGGGAAGGGGGCGCTGGAAAATAGGACAAAGCCCTCACCTTTATTTAAAAACTTGCAGAAAACTGAATTATTGGTTTATGTGTCTCTCTTTGCTTCTCTCTGCAGTGAAATTATTAGAGACGCTGAGCGAATATGAAATCGCGTCTCCCATCCGAGTGAATGCTCTCGGAGAACCCTTTCCCACGAACGTGCACTTCAAAAGAAGGCGACGGAGCATTAACTCTGCCTCTGACCCCTGGCCTGCCTTCGCCTCCTCCTCTTCCTCCTCTACCTCCTCCCAGGCGCATTACCGCCTCTCAGCCTTCGGCCAGCAGTTTCTATTTAATCTCACCGCCCATGCCGGATTTATCGCTCCACTGTTCACTGTCACCCTCCTCGGGGAGCCCGAGGAGAACCAGACAAAGTTTTATTCCGAGGAGGAAGCAGAACTCAAACACTGTTTCTACAAAGGCCATGTCAATACCAAGTCCGAGCACACGGCGGTCATCAGCCTCTGCTCAGGAATGGTGAGTGGGCGCGCGCCCCTCCCCTCCCCTCACCCGCTTTTGAAGACTTAATTGCTTTCTAGCCTAAGACTCTCACTACGGCGAGTCTCCGCTCTGGCGTTAAGTAGGAGCTGGAAGCTGGTTTGCGTCCTGCGCTTTCGGTGGCTATCCCAAAGCTTGCGCTTACACTCGAGAGGAGCGCTTGAGGGGGTTCTGGATTTTGGGGCGCTTTCTAGGGTCCTAACCTGGCTCAGCTGCGCTTTTCCTAACGCCGGTGGCGGCTTGGAATTGGTTTACAAACTTGGAGAGTTTGAAGCGAACTCGGCCGCCCAGGAGCAGCTGAGTCCTGGGAGGACACGACTCCTTATTGGTGCGTCTTGAATTGGGGGTGTGGGCTGAGGATCCCCACGCTTGGGTCTGGGGAGTTCCTTCTGTGTGTCGTGCAGGGCGGCGCGTAATTTAGAGTCCTCGCGTACTCGCCTGGCCTCCGTTCACGCGCCGGGAACCCTGAGGCTGAACAGAATTGACAGGGAACAGGTCCAGTCTCGGGAAGGGAAGGGTGGGCCCAGAGCGCCGGGGGCGGGGAAGAGGGCGGAGCCTGCCCCGGACGCTTTGAATTCGGGTGGAAACTGGTAGTGGGGTGTGGCGCAGTCTGATTCTGCACCCTGCTGGTGGGGTGACACCGAGAAGTAGAAAGAGTGGGAGAGAACCTGGAGAGGGTGACGCGACGATCTTCTGGGGCTTTTATCACCCATTGGGGTTTCCTGAGAATCGCAAGAGGGAGCCTGCGGAGCGCGTTTTCCTAGAGAGGGAGGGCGAGAGGGCGGGGCGGCCACCTCCCAAAGCAACAAATGCAGACGTAGCAGGGGATCCAAGCAGGTACCCCGACCCCCTGCTTACCACCGTTCCCAGCTTGCCTTCCAAGAGGTCCTACATGCCATCCGTCCTCCCTCGTCCTCCCTCCCCTCGCCCCGTGACATCTGAGGACCCGCAGTAAGATTCCGGCCCCAAAGCTAGTAGTCCTTGACTTTCTCTAGCGACGTGCGTTGCTGCGACGCGGGTGTGACGCAGAAACTTTCCCGGTCAGGCTCTCCCAGCGCTCGGCGCCCGGGTGATGCGTTAGTCTTTCCCTAAGCACCCACACTCCCCACTACCACCTTTTAAAGTGGGAGCATGTATACTTACCCAGGGTGCTCCGCTGCTCCCTCCGCGCGCTGCTGTTCCTGGGGCCAGAGATCCATCTCCGTCGCTCAACGGAGGGGTCGGGTGGGGAGCTAGGAAAGCCTGAAGACTGGGAGCTGGGAGGTTTAGCCTCCTGGGATGCGGGCACGGGAATGAGCCCATTTAATCCCCAGCAGAGAGCCTGGAGCCGTGGCGCGTTCTTGAGACTGTTTTGGGGTGGATGGATGCGGCAGTTTGGAGGAAGCTGTAGGGTGCTGCGGCGAGTCATCGCTGCCTCGAGACCTAGGTAGGACCGGAATCCAGGAGTCCTCCTGTTCTTCGAAAGTTTACGGCCAGCCAGCCGGGTTGGGCATAAGTTAGGAGCCGGAACCAAGGGCATCAGAACGACTGCAGATTCCAAGACGGTAACCCCCAAATTCAAAAACTAACAATTGGAGCTGAGTCTGTGCGACAAGTTTGTAAACAGCCTTTACTCCTCCCCCCGCCCCGCCTCCACACCCCGCTGAGTGGCCCTAGCAGTTGAATGAATATTTTGCTGCGCAGGACCTAATTTCTATTGGCCATTTTAGGCAGTAATTCGCACGTGGAACTGCGAGTGGTAACTCTTAGGACATCAGAAAAGATGCCTATAACCCTCCTTATGTCGCATTCAATTTGTAATCTGCCTCTTTGGTGGGGGGGCGGGGCGGGGAGGCGTTTAACATACATCTTAAAATATATGCGCACTTCAGTGATTAAACCAGACCCAAACCCTCGCCCCTTTGTCTTCCTTCTGGAATTTATCTTTCCCCCCAAGTGTTCCACTTACCATTTTTGTATCAGTAAAATCATGAAGCTCCTAGTGTCCCTCCCAGGAAATATGCCAGAAAATCTTTCATTCTTCAGAGTGATCCATGCTATACTATACACCGCTCTCCCTCTTCCCACGCACACCTCACTAGTAAAGTATGTTTCCCTGAATTCCATCACGGATGTGTCTCGTACCTTTTCCGAGCTACCCTATCCCAGTTCTAGCCCTCTTTACTTCTCTCCTGCTCACTCATTAAGACTCATATCTAAGAAGTATTTCCATCTGGTTTTCCTCCAGTCTTTTCTTTCTTATCTCTGCCACTAACAGATTAATGATGACAGGGTGCAAAATCACATCAGTGCCCTGTTCACTGACTGCGTAGCTCCTCACCGCCCAGTGAACAGCTTTCCACTCCATCTGGTACATCAAGCCATTTACAATATACCTCCTCACCCCTCTTCCATCCGCATGTCCAGGGTGGTCTCTCAAGCTTTCCTCCACAAGTCCTGTATTTTCAGGCGATCTGCTTTTTGCTTCTTTTTCTGAACTTCCCGCCGACCTAATACTACCTCATTGCCTTTGGGCCTTTAGATTTCTTTGTTCATCTCACCCAGCTTCACATGCTCAAATCATGCCTTTGTTTTAAAGTGTAACTTACATATCTTCTTTTCCAGCAAACCTTCTCCTGGTCCTATAGACTGCTGTTATGTCTCCTCTCCACCTTAATACACGTGTATCTGTATTTCTCCTATGGTTCTTAATATGCTCTCCTTTGTATTATATAGTTCTTGGTACCATATGTTCTGTCCTTTTCTCCTTGGCAGGAGGGTTAACATCAGTTCTTTTCTCTCATGTATTGGAGCTTTATATATTGTAGGTATATAGTCCCTATGCTTCAATAAATGCTCACTTTGACCAAGAAAGATTACTCTTTGATCAAGCAGCTATTTGTGAATCAACATAGAAAATTAATTTGTCACCCTATAGATACCATTTATTGAACTCTTATTGTGTGCCTTGTCCTGTAAAGAGTACTTTACGTATGTATTATCTCATACAAAATCCCCACAACAACCCAATTCTCAAATTACTCATTTTACAGATTGGGACACTGAGGCTTTGAGAGTTGGAGACTTGTTCAAGATCTCACAGCTCCTCAACAATAGAACTGGGGTTCCCACCCAGTCTTCCTGACCCATGCTCTTAACCATTCAGAGACTGAATCTACATTCCTAAAGAGAATTTCAGGGTTTTTTTTGGTTAACACAACAGACTTAAGTCGGGATACCTGAGTTCTAGATTTAGCGCTGGCACCATTCAGCTGCCTCTGTACCACCAAAAAGGAACTTTGGACAAGTCACTTCCTCCCTCTGGGCCTCAGTTTTCCTTTTTAACAGAGGTGCCAGATCCATACCGGATGAACTCCCAGCTTCTTTCCCAGTATTTATGGCCTGTCTCTACTAGGTTTTACATATGGTAATACATACCCTGCACTGTGTTCAGAGTACACCAGAGCTGTGTATTGAAACAGAGGTAGCTGCCTGGGTGAGATTTAATTTTTAAATCTCTTCTCTGGAAACCAGCTACTCTGTTGCTTAGTCTGACCACACCAGAGCTGTCCCCTCATTGAGCCAGTGGCTTATAAATAATGTGGTGGACTTTGTTAAAAATATAGATTCTAGACCTTACCCTTGAAAGTTTGAAATTTGCAGATAAAAGATAATGCCCCAAATCGGAATTTTTAAAAAACTTCCCAGGCAATTTGACCACTTAGCTGGGTTTGGGAACCAGTGTCTTAATGCTTCACAAATTTTATCATGCATAAAAATACCATGGAGTCCTCATTAAAGTTCCAATTCCTGGGCTCTACTCTGAGATTTTTGATTCAGTAGTTCAGATTTGGGGTGGAGAATGATTATTTGAATTTCTAACAAATTTCTGGATGATGCTAATGACCTTTAAGGATAGTCATTTCCCTTGTATCCAGGGGAAGGTAAAAGGTCCCTGCTTTTCTTTTCTCCTTCTTCTTCCTCTCCTTTTCCCCCCTCCTCCTTCTCTGTCTTCTTTTTCTTCTTCTTTTTTCAGTGCAGGAAAAGGAACAATGGAGGATAAGAGAAGGGCCTGAGTTCTCCCTTTAAACATTGCATGACATGGGGAAGTTTTGTGCTCTTGCAATGTTTGATTTGGGTGGCTCAACCTTGAGACCTCATGCATCATTTGCAAAACTTTCAGGTATGTGGAAAGGGAAGCACCTCTTTCAAGGTGCTTAGAATGACTGGCAAACACAAATTGTATCCTAGTGGACAGAGGCTAATACCACAACAACAAAAGCCACTAATGTGTTCTAAGCCCTTACAAGGTGTCACTTTGCTAAGCGCTTTAAATGCATTATCTCAATCTGCAGGATAACCCTTTATAGTATTTTTTATCCCTAACTGATGAACAAGGGAACTGAAGCTCAGCATCTAGAGAACTTGTCTGAGGTGGATGGATATGTGGCAGAGCTGGGACTGAAACCTAGGGCAGACAATGCCTAAGCCTTTTGCTGAATCCTTCCCTATTGCAAAGGGAAGGGCTGGTGAGAGACTCAAGTGCTAGTCTCACAGGTGGCATCACTTTGAGTGCCTTGTGGTCAACCTATGCTTCCTAAACCTAAATTTGTGATAAGGCTTCCATGGGTCAGGTTTTCCCTTGGAGCTCACACCCGTCTTTAAGTTTCCAGGCTGTTTTCAGTTTGAACAGAGAAACACTCTCTTTCAACAGTTCGTAGAAGGGAATATGTGATTAGAACTTGAGCACCAAGGAAGTATGTCTTAGAGACAGATTTGGGTAGCAGGTGCAATAGCATAAAGTTAAATCAAGGATAAGGTACTGGTGCAGCAGAGAATGAAAATAAGCTACTTCTCCGAATGTGTCAGCAGCATTTTAGGTTTAAGCAGCCCTCACAACAAAGGGATTGGGTAAAATGGCACCATCTCTACTTTGAAATGTTTCATTGTTTATTAAATCAACCTCTCATCTCCTTTGCAGCTGGGCACATTCCGGTCCCACGATGGGGATTATTTTATTGAACCACTACTATCCATTGATGAACAGGAAAATGAAGAGGAACAAAACAAACCCCATGTTATCTATAGGCGCAGCACCCTCCACAGGGAGTCCTTGACAGGAGGGCCTGCATGTGCCACCTCAGGTATTTGCTTGGTTCAGCAGATATCTCACCTCTGTGAGATGGGTTAATTGCCATGCTACAAAGATGTAGCTCTTTCTCCTGCTACAAAGCACATTTACGTTGTCTTTTATTTGATCTTCAAGTGAGGTAGGTATATCTCTATTGTACTGATATGAAAGCTAAAGAGTCTTAGGAACCTGTCCACTTATTAGCTCTTGCCACTAGCTAATAAGTGTCAAGGCCAGGATTCAAACTCAGAAGTGACTCCCAGCCCACTCTGTGCAGAGTTGCCTCTTTTGTTAAAGTTGCTAATTTGTATCGTTAAGCTTTAATAATGTGCTAGACTATTATAGCCATATCTTCAGTTAGCGTTTGCTTATGTTTCTTGTTTTCTATTTATTTATGTTTTTACCATGTAAAGTCACAAAACAGTCTTACAAATGGAACACATAAAACTTCTATGTATTTCTCGGAATTTTTCCTGTCAGCTTCAGTTTACCTCATGTTCTGTGGCTTCAGGAAATACAGGATGGGAAGTCTGGGTTGCACAGTCAGGTTTCTCTCAGGTGCTCTATGCCTACCGCTAGATTTCCTTCCATCCTAGAGAGAGTGGTTGAGGCTTTATGCTGACAATGTTTGGGCATCCTGGAAAGCTCATGCTCACCCATGTTACTCAGTCTGCAGTCTTGAAAACACCCATCACTGTCCTTCAAGCTGAGTTACTATCTCTGTAGTGATAGCTTATTATTAGAAATCATCCCTCAATTTGGTCCTTGCTTTTAGAATGTTTTTTACTACTTTTTTAAAATTCTTAGATTTACTGTTTCTACAACTTTATCTTTATCCCTATTTTTTATTTTTAAAGCTTGCTTTTCTGGGTGAAATAACTTCCCAAGGTCTTTCTGGCATCTCCAAATAAGACCAGAATTCAAGGCCAACAGGTAGTTTCCTAAAATGCTTCCCAAACAGCTACTTATTTCATCTCATCTCTGTATCAGGTTCTTCCACTATGACAGTGTAATGTCCTAGTCCTTCCTGGATTTATTATTTCGAAAGCGAATCCTTTAACGAAAGAACATTTGTTGTCTATAACGTTGTCTATAAGTAGCCAAGTCATAGGGAGTAGCATCGTAGGGCATAGCACCTTGGCACTTTTGGCTTTATCCCACCCAGTGCCCTGTCCTTACGACTAGGGCTAGGTGGACTATAACTGAAATATTCTGTCTGTTAGACTGTCTAAAGAGCCAAGGGGTGGGGGAGGAAGGATGAGTGAGAAGTGTACTTAGAAGCAATAGTCACAGCAGCTTGCATGGTGCCAAGACTGCCAGCTGCTAGCAAGTTCAACGGGAAGACATTTATCACATTTTTTACACCATGCTGGTAAGAATGTCAACATTTGCTTCGTGACTTCCCAAATCTGAATTAGCAAGTACATATTTTATGCATGTGTATAAATATATACATACACACATACACATATGTAGCATGTGATAGGAAATATATGATTCCTCCTTTGTTCACTGATGTATGTTCAAAAGATACTCAAATAATATTTTCATTGATCAATTTGTTGAACAGTGACACTTCATGACATTCTTCTGCCCTTAAGTAGCAGAAAACCAACATTTTAAAAAAACTACCATTTATTATGGTCCTGTTCTCTACTGTTGTTGGGCAAAGCACCCTACCTGCACTACTTTACTTAATCCTTACCATGGCCTGTAGGGTGGGGTAGCATTCTTACCTCTATCAGACCTGGTAAAGGAGCTGAGGCTTTCAGATATGAAGCAGCTTATGATCTCTCAGCTAGACCATAATGAAAACCCATGTTTGCCTGTCTTATTCCATGATTTATTTTCTCTGTGTGGGGGGTGGGGGGCACGGTAGAGAGAGAGAGAGAGAAGAGAGAATAACATCATTCAAAATACCCTCAAGGTTTATTTTTTTTAATTAATTACCCAAGTCAATGGACATTTGATCAATTTTCTGGGTTGGAGGACAAGTCGTTGTCGAATCTTGTTAAAAACACAAAGAAGAGAGAACCTAGAAAGGTGAGGATTGAGAACAGCAGAAGATACTGTACTTTTTCAAAAAAGCTTATTTGGGCTCTGGCCATCATTAGTATTGGGGCATTAAGTTCCACGTTTCAAATCACCACTGCCAACTTTTATTTTTCCTTCTGATTTTGGCTTGTTAGTGACTAATGTGAAGGGCCCTTCATCTCAGTGGCTTTGATTGGCTCTTGCAAAGGTTGCTGCTGGACTCTGCTACTCTGGTTTCTCCCCTCCAGCTGTTCATCCCGTCTCTCAGTCCAGATGCAGGGGGCTCACAATAGCTGGAAAGAACTTTGGAACATGGCACAGTTCACCAGCAGCGATTAGAGGAATGAACAAGCAGGTCATGGAAACCTCTAAAACCAGGTAGCCTTTGCACAGGGAGTAAAAATAGGTGGGGGTGGGGGGTGTGTGGAGAAGACTCCCTGGCTAGAGAGGAAAACATCCTGTTTGTAAACATCGATTCATTTATCCCTTTAGCTTCAGGGCTTCCCATCCCCACCCCAAGAGCAGGGACTGGTAACCAAGAGTACATTTTAGAAGTACCCTCTGAGCCTCATACAAATGCAGATTCTTTTTCTTTCATTGTTGTCCTATTACAGTCATCCCAATTTTTCCCCATTGCTCTCCCTTGCCCCATCCGCCCCGCCCCTTCCCCCCCCACACACACAGTCAGTCCCCACCCTGTTGTCCAGGTTCTTTAAACAAACAAACAAACCCCTCTACCAGACTTAGAGAGATGGAGCAAGAATCAGTGGGCTTAGTAAGTGCTCCAAGTGATTCAGAAGTTCAGCTAAACAAGAGTCCCTGCTAAAGTTGGATTTAAGGTACTAGGCATGGACTTGGCTTTCTCTGTTATTGGTTTTTGTGTCTTTTCTTCTTATAGGATGATAGAATATTTGAGCTGGAGGAAACCTTAGCAGTCAACTCTAGGCCACCATGCTAATTCTGTATAAATGAACAAACTGTAGTCCTGGGATGTTAAGTTATTTGCAGGAGTGATAACCTATATATTCAATACCAACCCATCAGAATTTAAGATAGCTCAAGCCTCAGAACAGACCCCCGGGGGTCCCCTGCTGAGCTATGTGTAACCCTTTAGTAGCTGGATCAGGGGAGTCTGCGCAGGGCAGGACAGTGTGGCTCTTACACTGCTACCTACAGATGGAGCATAAGTCTTGCTCATTTCTGAATCTTCACATATGTCTAATTTTTTAAAAAAAGGTTCTGAGATAACATGTTAAAAAGACATGTATAGAAAGAATCTTACGTAGTGAAAAAATTTCATGTGTTTAGAGACATCCACAACTTAATTTACTCATTTCATATGTGCATTTACTCATTCAGCCATAAAGTGTTTATTGAGTAGCTCCTCTGTGCCATGAGGATAAAACCATAAAACCAGGAATCATCTTTATGCCAGTTATTTATGTGACCTCAAGCACATTTAGAGCATAAAGGAAGAACAACAAACACCTTCCAAGGGTATAGTCAGGACTAAGTGAGTATGAAATAATGAAGGCTCCCAGAACATTTCGAGATGGAAAACAATCACTAAATGGCAGGTTTAAAAAAAAAATGATCATGAAAGTAGATATTAAAACACTATTACACGGGAAGGAAAACTCAAAATATCAAAGACCAAAGCTATCCAGGTTCCTGTGATTAAGCTTAGAGTTTCTCCTTAACCTGGTCGCAAAGGGCTTATGGGACTTGGCCACGGTCACCCTGCTGGCCAGTGGCAGGGCTGAGAGCCCTTTCTGTCTGCTTGCTTCCTCTACACATAAGGCAGCATTTGAAGACTTTATTTCTTGAACGTTTCTCTCAGCCCAGTGGCTGCCCTTCCTGTGCTGTTTCTATTTTGCCATCATTGGATATGTGTGCGCACATGTGGGCCACTTGAGTGCATCTGCATTCGTTTGCCATTTTCATCCTGTTTGTAAGTTCCTCAGGGTTCAAGATGGGGTGTGGGGAGTTTTCTCTTTCCTATGGTGTGCTTTGTGACTACAGGGTCCGCTACACAATGGATCCCCACTAGAGCTCATTGAGCCCTCTTCTTTCCTTGCACACCAGGGGGGCCGAGTGACAGGCAGGCCCATGGGATCCATTCAGGAGTTTGTTGCTTTTGTAAGCCACTTTCTGCCCATCCCCATCTCATTGCATTTCCAGATGAAACCCCAAGTTCTATCACAGAGACACTCTCTATTTGACCCTGAATGTTGCACAAGGGAATTTAGTTGTTCTTATCAGTGAGATAGACATACTTCCCAGTAGGTGAGTGAGAGAAAGGCAGGGGAGTGGGCCAACAGAAAAAAGATTGTTTTGTTTGCCCAGGCATAAAAGACAAAGTTTTCTTGTTACTGCAATACCTCACTCACCCTCTCACCTCAGCAAGGGCTGCTTTTTTGTTTGTTTGTTTCTTAAGGCATTTAGGGATTATACACTGATTGACCCATTAATGCCACTTCTAAGGAAGTCATTGGACAGTTGTGTAAAGGAGTTTATGGAAGAATACTCAATACAGTGTTATTTGTTATGGAAAAAATGCTGGAAACAACCTAATGCCCATTACTACCAGGATATAGCAATAATTTATGAGGTGTGCGTTGGGTGGATTCCTATATAGACATTAAAAAGGATGGCATACAAATGTGTTAACAAACAGAGAAATATGTATATTAAGTGAATGGGCAGTGATGATTCAGTTTTAAAAAATTTTAAAATCTCATTTTTAAAAAATAACCAAGTGTGCGTGGGTGCATGTGTGTAAAGACAAATACCTGAACCAGTATGCATGAAAATGATCACAGGATTATTGCTGATTGGCAGGAATGTAGGCAATCTTTACCTTTATATTTTATATTCTGATATTCTTGCCATCATTCTATAATAGTTTCATAATCACCAAATGTAGTTTAAAAAGGAATGGGGGTGGTGACATGTAGTTATTTTGTAACCCCATGGTAC